CTTGAGTACCACGCACAGCTTGAGGCTGAATTTTAGATATTTAAGTTGTACTTGGATAGGGAACATTCCCCCAAAATTTCAGCCTTCTAGCTTTCCTGGTACCTGAGTTAGCGAGTTTCCCCCTAAAAATTCCATACCCCCTTACATGAGTACCACGCGTACCTGGGGGCTGAATTTGTGATTTTTAGCTAGTACGTGTGCAGGGAATATTCCTACAGTCCCTCAGCTCGTGTGGCTCCCGAGACCGCTTTCCCGCCAAAAAATTTGCACATTTTTTTAAACCGCCCGCACGTGGCACCCAGGCGTCCGCGGGGGATGAATTTAAAAAAAGAGGGTTGCGCGGAATGGGCACATACTCCCAAGGTTTCAGCCTTCTAGCTTTTCTGGTTCTCGAGTTGAAAGTGAATGACAAAAAGAGAGAACACACAGACACACACACACAGAGACACGCACATACACACAGCCTCTTCTCTTTGTGCGTTTTTACAATTTGCATATATGCAAAAACGCATAATAAAACAGTACGCTTGACGCGCTGCAGCATGTAAGTGATGTCACTAAATCTGAATCGCACAACCCCAGCTAGGTGGTCTTAGTAACTACTGAAACCAAAAAACCACACTGTGCTTCGTCCTAACAATTTAAAAGCAAGTTAATTTTTATCACAAATCTATAAATAGTATGTTTAATTATTCAAACACTGACGCAGTGAATGATCGATAAGGGTATTATTAAGATTTATTGCCCCTTAACAAGGTCATGCCTATAGACCTTCGATTCTTGGCCACTCTTGTTTCCACAAGAAAACTGGGAGGAGATGAGTGGTGAAGTGGGGAGGGAGATGAGCAAGATGACACAAACCCCATTATCAGAAAACGAAATAGCATTATTTAAATGTATAAAAACGAATTTTCTTCAAATCTTTAAAATCAGCCTGGCATCTGCACCGATTTCACCCTCTTTGGCTCCCCACGCTGCATTCGGCTGCTCTGAGGGTAAATATTTGTTTGAGCAGAACTAACAACCGTATCAATATCTTCACCCTCTTAAAAACCTCCTAATCACCAAAATTTCAACAGAACGATAATTTTGGTGTTCCATCTGTGCAATCAAGCCATCGAAAGCAAGATACGTTATGAACAACTCTCATAGTATCTTGCATGAAACAAGAAACTCACGACTACTGTTTATTTCATAATTAAAAACATGTCTCGGAAAGAAAATTCGCCATCTTGAGCGGAAAAAGTCGCATAAAACAAGCTTTATTAAGTAACGAAACAACTGATTGGACATACAAAACGAAAAAGTCCATAAAAGATTCTCTTCCAATACTTTTTTTCAAAATTCTCAGTAGCTCCGCAGTTGGTGTCGTTCAATCAACCAAACCTGCGGCTATTTGTCAAAACATTCGAATCAAAACAATCCTGTTGGACAACAGCATATCAAGGACTACATATGAAAAATAATGTAAATCGTGTAAAAATAATGAAATTCGCTTATGTCTGATTATCTCTCATAAGCAGACGGATCAGAACACCAAAGCTTGATCCTATAAAACAGATTTCATTGTAGAATCAAGCGTGTCTCAAATCTGGAAAGAAAACTTGATAATGTAGTGACTCCGCCTTACGACCTTCCTTTCTGACTTCTCCCAGTAATATGCAGCGGAAAAGAATAATCCGTGCATGTCATATGTGATCCGTCCAATCTTTCCAGCTGCTTGTTCCAATTAATATTAGAATCACTGATTTACAGGTGTTGCAAACTATTAGGAATTGTTGTCCAAACTCTGGCTTACCGAGAAGGAGAGATTACAAACAAAGATTCTCAGTTTTTATGAGCTCGAAATGTGATGATGGATCTGAACAAGAAGACTTACTAAGGTATGTCACTGCGCAATTTATACATAATTACTAATAACTTGTGCTATCAATAAATGAAATAACAAAAGTAATAATGAAGTAAAAAGTGACAAAGAATTGTAGATAAAATTTTGAGACTATATGAACACATCACAAACCTTTTTCACGAAATATATGATATGTTTAACCCACATGACTACATCTAAAACAAGGAAAGGCTGTATCAGTTGATAATGCTGTGCAATAAACACTGAATTTACTCACCTATAACAGTGGTACCTTCAGTAAACCAGTGCGCAATAAGTGACCAACGTTTCGGTGGTGATTCACTGAAATATTGTAACTGAGTTGGACTATAACGTTCTACTGGACCGCCACAGTCGCGATATCGCCCATCTTGCCAGTCTTTGTTGAATAGCTCGACTACTTCTGCTTCTTCCATTGTCGTGTTCAACACTTTCTTTGCCTTCTCTTCCTCGAAATCGTTTGGCAGATGAACTTCAGGAAAAATAACCACAGCACGGTATGCAAAATGACCGCCATATTTCGCATGTAAACTTACGCCCATGGATTTCTGAAATGAAGCAGACTGGGTCGGCGACTATGTTAAAGAGGGTATATGAAATTCCTTTCATTCCAACAACTTTGATGCGCCCTTGTATATGACGCACGTGATAGCTGAATTTGAAATCCTTAGCTCATGCAAGGACAGAAAGACCCATGTAAAACTTTAGGTTCCTCTTTTGCTTGATTCTGGAGTCGCTTTTCCGCCAAAACTCTTCACTATTTTCAGGCAGACGCACATGAAGCTTAGGCAAACACTAATGTGAAAGGAGTGGGTCCTACACGGAGTAGTAGCTTACTTCAAAAATTCCAGTTGCATAGCTTTTTTTGTTACTAAGTTGATAGCAAATGACAAAATGTGAACATACATACATACAGACAGATGTACTCAAACAACCTCCTGACAATACGAGTTTGTGCATTTTCATAAATATACTTTGGATTTATAGAAAATTGGCCGAATGCGAATGAAATGTTTGAAGTAAGGAATGAAAGTAGCATGTGAGTTGATTTCATTTTCGAAATTTCGCACGTGACCAAGAACTTCACAAATTTCAAATTTCTGGCTTGTACGGTTTCGGACTGGAAATTTGCACTCATACATGCTCCTAAGACAGGCTTGGTTTCACTTCGGTGAGTTTCTGTGCCTCCTGGTGCAACACAAAAGGCGCCGTACATTAGCACACTAATCAACTGATAAGTTAATGCTTCGCCCACAGCAACTGCATAAAGGTCAGCAGCTGTATAAAAGGTGAGCTGCAGCGGTTGATTGAGGTACAATGCGTTACCTTCCAGTAATAATTAAAGCAAAAATAAGCGCTAACAAGCCGACTTACAGCTTCATATGGCCGAATGAAGCTGACAGGTGGTTGGTAAAAATAGGCAGCACCGGCTACATGACCGCATGCTGTCATCAGTATCTTTGGATTGAAGTTTGGCAAGAAGTCAAAGTCGTGCACAACATACACTCGTGTAATTACTGACAGATCCTAAAAAACAATAAAATTTAAATAAAGCATGGCACCCCTATCCAGTCGGTTTATCAAGTCTGACCCACGATACAGTTATTCAAAAAAAAAATGTAATTAAGGACTTTTCCGTATCTAAGTAATACGATATACAGGATTTATGCAAGCTTCCGTCTTTTAAAACCAAGTTTGCACTTTTGCACTATTAGTTCTTGAAATTGCATAGCGTAAAATTAATCAAAATAAAAGCTTATTAAGAGGAGTTACAAAAATTTTGGATAGGAAAACATATGAAATTGTTAAATCATTGGCAATGTGCACTGAGTGGGCCCGTGCGATAATGCGCTTCTGGAATATTTCGTGCTGTAATAAGATCGCTCGCAAACGCAGTAGCTAGAAATGTGTGATATACTAGTCCTCGAAATCCGGGAAGTTAATTGTATTTAGACAGGAAACAATGAAATTTCAGCTTTCCAAATTTACTGGTTTTTGAGTTAGCTATTTCCCTGCCAAAAACTTTCACGAGGCTGTACGTGACAACCACAGACGTCCGAAGGCTGAGTTTGATCACTTAAGCTGTATTTGTGCTGGAAACATTTCCTGAAAACTTCAGCTCTCCATTTTCTCCGGTTCCCGAATTAGCCACTTCCGCGCCAAAAATTACACGGGCCGCACATGAGAACCATGCTTGCCCAGAAGCTGAACTTGATAAGTTTTAAGCTGCACATGTGTTAAGAGTATATTCTGAAAATTCAGCCACTCAGCTCTTCTGGTTCCCGA